ATACAATAAAAGATTCCTAGCAGATTTTTTGATGAAATTTTGTGAGTGCGTTTTTTATGAAGCGTAGAATATGTCCACCAATTTTCTTTTAAAATTCAATCGAGATATCAGTTTAATGCATTATTGAAAAACACTACGTCAATATATATATAAAAACACAGTTTTTTCAATAATTATTTAACAAACTTTCTGATTGAATTTCAAGCTGAAATTTGGTGGACATAATCTATACTTAATGTAGAACATGATCAAGAAACTTCATAAGAAAATCAAACCAAAAGCACTTCAAATGGAAGTGGCGGGATGACGTTAAGGTTAAGAAATTTCTTACAAGAATATTTATCTTGCATAATATACCTTATATATTATGGACTAGATCAATCAGTCCACATTGACTACTTTTGGTCCAAAATAGGACGTTCGTAGGCTTTTAGGAAAGCTACGTACGACACTCAAGCAGGAATTAGGAAATTAATACGAGAATGGAAAGTTGCAAAAGAATTTGGTAGCCAGAAATAGCATATAGAAATCGTTTCCCCTAATTTGAATTACATCTCACCTTTTATAGGCGTATACAAATTGTAACCGCTACCAATAATAATGACTATTTAATTACAACATTAATACAGAATTAAATACATAATTAATAGCACATTAATTGTTTGACCGTTACTCTTCCGGGCTGAGAGGTCGCACGGACTGGCAGGCTCCCCGTTGGGCTGGCAAGCAGACTCCGGGCTGTGGCCTTGGATCCACGGATCCAAGTTCGGGGCTTGGGCGGATTAGGCTCTAGGCCTAGTCCCATAACTCCATCACGAGTCCCCCACTCCCTTAGTCGAGTAGTAGACTCGACTAAGAGGGAGTAGTCCAAGTCAGTTGCTCTTCTCCGAGACTAGAAGATCCTCGCCCGTGTCCATGTTGGGGAGATGCGTCATTAAAAACCTTCATTAGTAAAAAATCCAATGGGAAAAAATCCTAATGAAGGAAAAAAGAGTACATCTGATGCCCCCAAGATGAAGCAAGAGGTGAGATTCTCAGCCTTTATTGCAATGGTTGCCATCTGCGAATAGGATGGCTAGAACTGTTCTTCTCATCGGGCTCAGACTCGTCAGGTTCGTCATTTGCTTCCTTGAAGACGGTAAGATCCCCAGTCCCTCTCTTTATTCAGTTGTACCTACATACACAAAAGAAACTAGTGTAGAATAGAGCATCTGGCCTGGTGTCGAACCACGGCTCAGTGTGTAAGTGAGTCGGACTCACTACTTGAAAAGAATGACATCAAGTTCCCAAGTTAGGCCTCAACCCAGTCTCCGAAAGAAAGATTGAATCCGAGAGTAAGTGAATCGGACTCCTCACTCGAACGGATAATCCAACCCCAAAGAACTAAAGTATATCAACCTTTTAGAGAAATGTGAATGTCAATTAAGTGACAAAATTGCTCGAAAGAGTGTGGCTCTAGGCCCCTCTAACTAAAGTTTAACTCGCCGCCCGAGGTTAGTAGTTCGAACCCGCAAGTAAAAACGTTTGAACGGGTGACTCATCTCCCGAGGTCAGAGTGTGATGCACTAGAAAGAGGTAAGAGCACGCGAGAACTCGTATGAAGTCAAGAGTGTGTGGTATTAACATTTACATTGGAGCATATTAATCGTCACACCCATATGACGTGACCCGGTGGCGCGAGTGTGTGTGCTCGACCAGTGTACGAGTGTGTGCGCTCGTCCGGCGTACTTGAGTGATTAGATTTCATAAGTCCATTGTTCAATGTTAAAATTACACGCACTTAACAAGAGCAAAAACAATTAAACCACTTAATTATCTTTTCAAAATGTTTTAGATTTACATTTTTTTGTAAATATAAATCAAATTTAGTTTTGAGTATTAGTAAGCTGATTTTACTTAGCTTGATGCGTATCGTTGAAATCAGGTTGGCCCAAGCGTCACTGCGTGATGAGGCCCACCATCATGACCCAGCTATGGTGGGAATTACGTGACTTAGCTGCTAGGTAAAAATTCTTATACCTTCGGCGATGGGGTCTGCTCCGGCCTTCAGTGGTGAGTTTCCAAAGAGGGGAGGAGATACTGTCCTTGGTGTCGTCGGAAAAGTGAGGATCTTCCTTCCGCCGTCGCAGCTTGAACATGGATTTGGCTGGACTGTTAGAAGAGATGGGTCGTCGGCCGGGACGACCATGAGACTCGGAGGTCGCAGGCCTTGGAAATGAAGAGACCTCGGCCAACCATCTGCTACTCCACCGCCGGAGCAAAAAATCACTATTTATGGCGGACAAAAACCACCGAACTGCCGTAACGGATGGTGGAGGCCCAATGGTGACCGACGCGGTGACGAAGCGACCAGGACTGAGGCAGGCGGTGCTGTCACGGAAGTGCTGGTGCTCCTACTGTGGTCGTTCGTCACTCCCAGAGCTCTAAGGCGGCCATTAATGGTGGATTATTGAGGTTGAGTTTCAGTAACAAGAGCACTTGGCCATGGAATCATGGAGCCGGTAGCCACAACCTAGGCTATAGCCATCAGCTGTGAGGCCGACCGGTAGTGAGGCAGTTCCACTGTGACAGAGGTTTCCCGGTGTAGCTGGACTGCATTGTCGGCCAGTAGAGTTCCGAGAACTATCTTCCGTTTTTCCAGGTGGACGCTGGTCGCCGGCTCAGATCCGGACCTCATTTGCTTTACCTGATCAGAATTTTTCAATCCTTTTCAGATTTTTTGGATCTTGCTCATTTTTTTTCCTGAAATTTCCTGCTTCATTCCTACTCTAAAGTGATACGAGAGACCGTAGAGGCTCTGAATGAAAGCACGAATGTTGGTCCAAAATAGGACACTCGTAGGCTTTTAAGAAAGCTACGTACGACACTCAAGCAGGAATTAGGAAAGTAATACGAGAATGGAAAGTTGCAAAGGGAATTTGGTAGCCAGAAATAGCATATAGAAATAGCTTCCCCTAATATGAATTACAACCTACCTTTTATAGGTGTATACAAATCGTAACCGCTGCCGATAATAATGACTAATTAATTACAACATTAATATGGAATTAAATACATAATTAATAGCGCATTAATTGCTTGACCGTTACTCTTCTGGGCTGAGAGGTCGCCCGGATTGGCAGGCTCCCCGCTGGGCTTGCAAGCAGACTCCAGGTTGTGGACTTGGATCCACGGGTCCAAGTTCGGGGCTTGGGCTGATTAGGCTTCGAGGCTAGTCCCATTACTCCATCACGCATGATGGAGTAATGGGACTAGCCTTGAAGCCTAATCAGCCCAAGCCCCGAACTTGGATCCGTGGATCCAAGTCCACAACCTGGAGCCTGCCAGGCCAGCGGGGAGCCTGCCAGTCCAGCCGACCTCCCAACCCGGAAGAGTAACAGTCAAACAATTAATGCACTATTAATTATGTATTTAATTCCGTATTAATGTTGTAATTAATTAGTCATTATTATCGGTAGCGGTTACGATTTGTATACGCCTATAAAAGGCGGATAGTAATTCAGATTATGGGAAGCGAATTCTACATGCTATTTCTAGCTACTAAACTTCTTGTAGCACTTTCCATTCTCGTATTGCTTTCTTGATTTCCTGCCTGAGTGTCGTACGTAGCTTTTCTATAAGGATACGAGCATGCTATGGGTGAAGATTCCTTTACCCGAACACAAGAACGATTAAGGGTAGCTCTCCGGCATAGAGTTGCGAGTTGGGACGGATAGGGACGAGTGGCGAACGACGATGCCGCGACAGAGGTGGCGGCTAGATTGGGATGTCAGATCTCTGACATCGGTTGCATGCCGGCGGCGGTGCCAGGCCAGTAATGGGGCGATGTCGCCTTTGAAACGGCGGTGCGGTGACGGTTGCTCCGGCCATGTCTGGGAAATCCCAGATGTCCCATCCAGAACTCATAATTTTCCTTCTTTGTTGAATTTTCATATTGCTTTCGATGGATTTTCTCCATGATTGTGAATTGCAGACCTTAAAAATTGTTAGAAACTTTTCTCCGTGATTCATTCTTAATGATGCAAGAGACAACAGAGACTCTCAATGAAAGCACCAATGTTGGTCTAAAATAGGACGCTCGTAGGCTTTTAGGAAAGCCTATGTACGACACTCAAGCAGGAAATCAAGAAAACAATACGAAAATGGAAAGTTCTAAAGAAGTTTAGTTTCCAAGAATAGCATATAAAAATCGTCTCTGCTAATCTAAATTACAACTCGTCTTTTATAGGCGTATACAAATCGTAACTGTTACCGACAATAATGACTAATTAATTACAACATTAATACAGAATTAAATACATAATTAATAGCGCATTAATTGCTTAACCGTTACTCTTCCGGACTGGCAGGCTCCCCGCTGGGCTGGTAGGTTCCAAGTTGTGGACTTGGATCCATGGGTCAGAGTTCGAGGTTTGGCCTGATTAGGCTCTGAGCCTAGTCCCATTACTCCATCAACTACTAACATTTAAACCTTTTAACCTTTAAACCTAATTTACACCACACGGCTACTTCTCAAACAAATAATCGACTCATCTTCGAGTACCGCTAGTGCGATGCGATTTGTTCATCTAAACTTCTCCCCTTGAGCACATCAACTCTTCCAAGCTTTAACATTGAAAATGACAATCTAAAATGTAGAAGTGCTCATGTCCTTTTAATCAACATCGAGGTTCTCCCTATTTTTTATGCCAACCTAAAAATATGTAGTTTTTAGAGAGAAATATTTTAGTTGTAAATTTGATTTGGTTGTGAAGGTAAAATGTGTTCATTTTAGAAGTATAATAAATTTTTATAGAGAACTGAAAAGGGTAAGAACCGTACTAGGTGGCATATGATATCCGTTTAGTTATTTTTGTATACAAGATGGAATCTCCACATTATTTTCGAATGCTTTTCCAAAAAAATGCTCTTTTCTTCCCGCTGGGTATTTTGTAACCTTAAATATAAGATCCCCACACTAAATTGCTCTCAAATTTATACACACCAACGAAAAAGTAGTAGAACCCTCCCTTAAGTGATACTCCGTAAAATATAACAGAGATTAGATAATGCCTGCAAATCCAAGAAGTAAACTTGTGATAAACTACCACAGTGGTAGCATTACAACTCTGGAATATCTTGTTGTACAAGGTAACCCATTTGGCTGCGGGAAAAAGAAGCCAAAGCGGATATATCAAAAACCAACAATAAATAAATAAAACTACCTGCTCCAACAATACAAGAATAATATATGGAGATAATAACACATTATAACTGCTCCAACCATTCTATTATTGTATGATGAACAAACGAAATGGTGACTAGCTTAGCTTCTCGATGCTATAAACATTGCCACACACTCCCAAAATGCTCACCATAATGGACAGTACCAGCATGAGCCAACATAATTTTCTCTCCCGTTTGCTCAACCTGTTCCCTTGTTTGCTAAGCTGTAGCGCTACGAGTGACGGAAAGGTAAATCCCAAAGAGACGGCTGTGGTGGCTCCTGTGAACTTGAACACAGTCCAAATGTTAGGAACCATCGTTGAACTCAAATAAACAAGGCCTAAGAGAACCACAGTCAAAGCCAAACACCTCCTTCTACTCTCGGTGAGCGGAGCATAATCCTTAAACAATAGCGCGTCAACGGCTTGCCTTAGTGAGAAATGAATCACGGGGAACACAAGGATCAAGTGGAAGACATACCCCATGCGGACAATGTACGTTAGAGCCGCACTGAATGGTATCCCAAGGTCTTTATCGAAGTTAGTCAATACATCCGATTCGGTCTCTTTCCCAAAGAGCAAATACCCCGACACGGCAGTCGAAACATACACGAGGACACAGATGACAGTTGTGACCCTCCCAACCCGATACATTTTTTCAGGCGACCGCTCTTCTAACTCATTATAAATAGGCAGCACATTGAAGTGACACACATAAGCATTGGACATTATAGGAATCACGACGAACAAATCCAAGATTGCGTTTGTGGACCCGAAATCCGGGGCCATTCTAGGCATTTCAATAGTCCCTTCGACAAGCTTAACGAAGGCAATGACAATAGAAACAATAACGAATATCACAGCAAGGGCCACAGAAGCTCCCGATGTTAAGCTCAAAGAATCAATCCTGTCCAACGCGCAAAGTGGGGCAAGGAAGAAAATCAAAAAGATCAAAACCACAAACTTCCTATGATCCCAGAAACCTTGACCTAACCATTGATCTAGAACACCAATGTGGTGAACAGAACCAGACATAACATCTCCTATTATAATAAGGTAAACAACCAACACACCTGCATTGTTAACAATTATACAAGTCTCAGATAAGATCCTAGCTGTCTTACCCAAAGCTGCATGAACCACTTCCCCATAAGATGTCGCATTGCACTGAACAGAGAAACGTATAAGCAATTCAACACTCGTTTCAGATAAGATGCCAATTAGGATTATCAGAACAAACCCTAAAACAAAACCCAGGACTTTCATTGCTGCGGGCAATGCCATAATCCCCGCCCCAACGATGGTTGTTGTGAGATTGAATACAGCCCCGTGTATTCCTGATCCGGGTTTATTTCCATCACTGAAAATAAGGGGCAAATTGTCTAAATCAATGTCGTCATCTAATTCCAGATCGTCCGCGTTGACCTGTTTAGTATACCCGTTTTCTTGAGGTATGTCGGATTCAAAATCTCCGTCTTTCAGCTGTAATTCGACGAATACATCCTTGGGAGGAACAGCTGTATAATTACTGTCCATATGTTAATCTGATATTTATTTATACATTCATATACCTTATCAAGCAGTCAGGCGACTCAGGCGTGTATGTATATCTGTATTTGCAGGCACATGAACATAGTTGGTACCGGAGAATCGGAGATATAGGGTTCAATGTTGAATAGTCAGTCTCTAAACAAAACTTTCCCTTTTGTCCCTTCCAAAAAGAAATTCAATTTTCTTTTTGGTAAAAAATTTGTGGTTCAAAGCAATTCTTACACATTTTTACACATTTCTCTTTCATCTGCACAACTCTCCACTACACAATTCCCACTTTCTTAATCCGTGTGTCATTTGTATTACAGAAGAACATTTAGGGATAGAGGGAGTAACAAAAAATGGGGGTCTTTCCGGGATTCAGGAATGGTTTTTTTTGAACCGATTCAACAATGGCTTGAGGATGAATCATCTAAGAATGATTCTACACAATTTGTTGGCAATATTAGATCTACCCACCTGTCTAACTATGATTACAAGGATATAGTAGTATATGAGTGACCTGATTACAAGGATTAGAGCTTGATGGTCCCGGATAGAGGTAAAAGTCTAAAGGGGGGGGGGGATAGACTTTTAAAGCTTTTTCGATTTTGAAAACTTTTCCCTTCTAGATGAGTTGATCTATAATCTTTTGAGAGATTTATAGATGCACAACGGAAGTCTTTGACCTTTTGATAACCAGTGTATAATACCTTTCTGACTTTGGTGATATATGGACTTATGAAGTGAGCAGTTGGCTTGGCAGTTGGTTGGATGACAAGGAACTGCTGCGGCAACTGCTAAGGAAATATTTAGTATATGGTGAAAGTGAGGAGAGAATATTGCTTAGGAAGGTGAGAGCTTTCTGGAAATATGCTGAGATGATTATTAGAGAAAATTTACGAGAGCAGTGGTCTCAGCAGTTGGGTGGTCCCCAGGGAACTGTTGAGGCACCTGCTGAGTTATAGGCTGACTTTGAGAGATCAGTTTGAACAAACTTCTTGGTAATGATGTTATGAAGATGTTGTGATGTTGAGATGTTTAAAAGAAATTAACGTGTACGAGCAGTGGTGTTAGAGATATTTATGATTGTGATCAATGTATTTTATCTAGCCTAGTATTTTAATTCATTAGATAGGCCATTTATGGTAAATGCCATATTCCTAAAATGGGATGGGCCTCTTTGGGATATGAGCCCAATGATATGTAACCTACCATTCTACAAAGGCTATAAATACGCCCTTTGTAGAATGCGTAGGAGAGGCTTTTAGAATTCGTAGGAGAGGCCTTTAGAATGCATAGGAAGACTATTTGAGAGCCAACGGAAGTTCTACGCTAATGTTCTCTATCATTCTGTAAACTTCCTCGTCATCAATGAAAACCTTCCTTTACACGTATACATATCCATCTTTACACATTATTGTAGTGTAGATCACAGGGACCAACATTTGGTATCAGAGCGGGACTGATCGACTGATTGAAGCGGAGAAGAAGAAGCTTGCTGTAACACCGTCCCCAAATATATTTACCTTTAAGCGAATAATTTATTGAACCCTATGAAATTTTTGTGAATTTACGAGGTTGTGAATTTGTATAAAATTTTTCGCGTGAATAGTAAAATGCACGTGGGGCCCACATCGGGAGTGGGGACCGCCCGATATTATCGGGACCACTTATTAGATTCATCTGGGCCTAGAAAATATGTATATGGTGGTGGATATCCTAATTGGTCCATAGTAATGGCACAGGGTTGACCGGTTGGTCAAACAAGGCCAAATTATCGGTATCGGCAAATTTATCAGATAACAGCCCAAAAAGGGATTTCGGAGACTTCTAAATTGAGGTTGGGGAATGCATATTGATTTTAGGGTCCCATAAGGATTGGGAACAAGTGTTATATTTTATTTGACCCGATAAAATAAAATATACTTAAAACAGTCCGGAAAATACAACTTTCGGGACCGATTGTACACTTCTGGACAAAAAGGGTTGACCTTCCACATGGGTGGGGGCCAACCCACGAATTTAGCCTAATGACTCATTCTAATTTCTTTCAGAAATGGAACCAGTTGGAAGGATCACTAGAAGGAACCCGTTGGGCCGTGCACCGGGTGGGTCCGAGCGCGGTAGCCGGGGGTCCTCTAGGGGATCAAGAGGAAGGGGCCGTGGAGGCCAACGTCAAATCGTGAGCGATGGCCACGTTGATACCGAGAGTGAGACCTATTGGTCCTATGAGGACTCAACTTACCAGCCGGGGACTGAACCAGTTGAGACCCCGTACGAAGGGAGTGATGATGATGTGAGTGATGAGGAGGAAAGTGGCTCCTTGGCCAGGATCGAAGCGCTGCTCCAACAGTATCATCGGGAGCGCGAAGAAAGGAGGGCACGCCGAAGGCACCGTGCAGGGCAACCTTCGGGCGGGGCTGCAAGAGGGAGGAGCTATTGCGATTCGAGAACCCATGTGGAAGCGCATGGAAGTCGGGGCGATGGAGGTCTAGCCATAAGGATCTCCAAATACATCAAAGAGGCGAGGGACTTAGGGTGCAAACCGTTCGATGGGACGGGAGACATCTCGGTTGCCGCACAGTGGATCAAGAGGCTGAACGAGGCAGCCCTTGACATGCAACTCACCCCCGATTTGAAACTGAGAATCACAGTAAGGTTACTCGAAGGGTTGGCATCCAAATGGTGGGATGGAACCAAAGGTAAGTATGGCGGCACTGTTACATGGGAGGATTTCCGACAAGAATTCTTTGCCCAGTACTACTCTGACTTTGAAGTAAACGCCAAGGTGAGGGAATACACTCTCCTAACCCAAGGTGGTAACATGACGGTGAAAGAACTTGAGAACAAGTTCAGAGACATTGCTGATCACATACCGGAGTATGCTTGTGATGAAAACCGAATGGTGAATCATTTTTGGGAGGCCTTGGATTTGGAGATACGCGACAGGGCAACTCAATTGCCCAACATGACTTTCAGCCAAGTGGTCGCCCAAGGGTTGAAAGGAGAAAAGCAATGGGAGGAGAGGAAGAAGAGAGATGCCGAAGAGGCTAAGAAAAGAAAGTGGGAAAGCCATGGCCCCCAAGGTCCCAACAAGAAGGGGAACCATGGGGGAGGTGGATCGTTCAGGGCACCGGCAGCACCATCCAAGGGAAACCCGGCCATGAGCGGGCACTACTCGGGCTCACAAGCCCCAACGACGCCCAAGTGCAGGAATTGCAACAGGAACCACACCGGTAAGTGTCGTGATCCACCACGGTGCTACCAATGCGGGAGTACAGGGCATATTAAGCCAAACTGCCCTCAACTTGGTGGGAATCGGGGGTCAGGACCAAGCGGCGCTACCACGGCAAGTAGGAACCGGGCCGGAGCATCTCATGCCAGTGTGGGCCAGGGGGAGCAACCACGAGTAATGCGCCGTCCGTGAATCAAGGAAGAACTCAAGCTAGAGTTTATGCGATGATGGAGGCGGACGCACGTGCTAACCCGGACTCCGTGGCGGGTAAGATCTTAAACTCATAATATTACTCCGTTGTATGCAATAGGAGTGTTTGTAAGGTGTAAAATTTGTAACCCCGACGGTTTGGTCGGGATTGTTGGGAAAAGGGGAGGAAAAATCCCCGCCCTGGGCGAATGCCGCCCGACATTTGACGGAAGCCGCCCGGCTTTCGTCTTGAATTATTGGGAAAATGCTGCGGCGACGAATGCCGGCCGGTTTCCACCAAAAGCCGCCCGACTTTCGTCAACACTTAATCAGGAAAATCCTCGCAACCAAAAACCGGCCGGCTTTTGTAAAGACCGGCCGGCTTTCATGAATGCCTGGCCTGGGAATTTTCTCGCATCTGAAAGCCGCCCGGCTTTGGCGAAAGCCGCCCGGCTTTCGTCGGGCCTAGGAATTCCTGCGCTGCTGAAACCCGGCCAGGTTTCGTATAAACCGGCCGGCTTCGAAACCATTCCCTAAATAAAGACTACGGCGACGAAAACCGCCCGGCTTTCGTAAAAGCCGCCCGGCTTTCGTGATTAAATACTTAGAATTGTTCTCGCAGTCGAAAACCGGCCGGCTTTCGTGAAAAGCGGCCGGCTTTCACCTGGATTGGTCCTAAAACGGTCCTAAAGGTTAGAAACCGGGAAATTTCGGAAGGGTATCGAACGGACCCCACCCGAAATACAACCAACATACTCTACGACTTAAGAAACGAACCTATTAATTAGATAGTGTGTCTTACATTACTTATGAATGTAGGAACACTAAAGATAAACGGGAGAGACGCAAGAATCCTTATTGATACCGGGGCGCAACGATCATTTGTGAGTGAGGCGTTCGCCAGCGGATTCAACGGACCACTTGTACCGATGACTCAAACCCTATTGGTGTCCACGCCTTTAGGGGATGATATCGAAAGAGATAGCCACTATCCATCGTGTGAGGTGGAAGTGGAGGGCCAAACCTTGACGTGTGACTTCGTACCGCTGAGTATGATCGAGTTCGATGCAATTCTAGGAATGGATTGGCTTGAGGAACATCATGCTAGGGTCGATTGCTACACTAAGGTTCTTGAACTCGAAGGCGGCGAAGGGTTGATCTTACGCTTCGAGGGAGATAGAGGCAAATCAAACTGTTGTATCATATCCGCCGTGAGAGCAAGGAATATGATGAGAAAGGGGTGCCACGCATACCTAGCGTATGTGGTGGACAAAACCAAAGAAGAGATAGACATCAATGATGTGAGAGTTGTGTGCAAGTATCCGGATGTCTTCCCAAAAGACTTGCCGGGACTTCCACCCGATAGGGAGATTGAGTTCGTGATCGAGGTCGAACCCGACACCAAACCAATCTCTATACCGCCATACAGAATGGCACCCGCTGAACTTAACGAGTTGAAAACCCAATTGCAAGAGCTATTGGATAACGGTTTCATAAGGCCGAGTCACTCTCCGTGGGGAGCACCGGTCCTTTTCGTGAAAAAGAAAGATGGAACACTTCGTATGTGCATTGACTATCGTCAACTGAACAAGGTCACAATAAAAAATAGGTATCCCTTGCCTAGAATTGATGACTTGTTTGATCAGCTCCGAGGGGCGACGGTGTTTTCGAAGATTGACTTGAGGTCGGGGTACCACCAACTGAAAATAAAGGAAGATGAC